TGTGTGTGTGTGTGTGTGTGTGTGTGTGTGTGTGTGTGTGTGTGTGTGTGTGTGTGTGTGTGTGTGTGTTTATTACCATTCTAAGACATAATATTCGATTGACATGTTTACATACACACCTACACATACAATTATTCATGCGTGGATGTCTACATGCATGTTTGTATACCTTACGTAGTAGCTTTTGCATGTTAAAAGGCGCAAATATAAAATATAAACACAATTTTAGAGTATCAGAATATATCTATATGAAGACTCTACAGCTTATTTATAGAAATATGTGAAAAGCAAGTAAAAGGTTTTTATTTATTTTAAGATTTCTAATAAATTTTGACATTTATAAATACATTTCAAATTAGTTTATAATGAGATTTGCAATCTTCATTTGGCAAATTCATATTTTCAATGCTCGTATGTGTCTTTTTTTTTATATAAAGCTTTGGATTGGCTATTTATCTATAGTGTTCACAATATTATTTTCTTTAGACTGTCGTTAGAGATTTAGAATACAACACTCGTCTATTGCATGTTGTAGACAAATTCATGGAACAGACAAACACTGTTAAAATTATACTGAGCCCTTACTTCCCCGATTTTTTTATATTTTTTTCCAGCATCTTATAGCTTCATATAGATTTGGAGAGCTCTTTAAAGATATAATGTATCTATTAATTTGGATTCTATAAATTGCATCGATAATCAACAAAAATGCAGCTTCAGATTATTTATACTCAGAATAATAAAAATTTTCTTCAAGAAGTTTTATATTTCTATAATATGAGGTCATTTTTATAAGAAACAAGAAGAACTAAAACGAAAATCATATATATATATATATATATATATATATATATATATATATATATATATATATATATATTGACAAAACTCTTGGCTATTAAACATTCTTATTTACTCTACACTTACATGACCTATGCTTCAAATGTATCTTGCACTAGTATTATAATAATAAAAAAAAACACACACACACATACACATTCGAAATTTTGGCAATGAGTTAAAACTTGCTCATGAGTAAATTCTTTGAAAAATCAAATATCTCATTTATTTACTTATTTATTTATTTATTTGTTTAGCCATTTATTCATCAATCCATCTGTTTTTATGTTTATTCATTTATTTGTTTATTTTTCTGTTTATTCGTGTATTAATTTAAATAATTTATTTTATTCTTATATTTTCATAGTATGCACTTAGAGTAAATAAGCTTCATTACATTTTTGTATTGGTCATCTTGGCACAAGCACTTTATGCTTAACTATCTGACAATCATATCGAAGCAACTCGTAATAATTAATTAGACAATAGCTTCTAGTGTATCTTAGACAATACACATTCGTCGATGCAAATCTTGCAGCATAATCACGAAGAATTTCATTCAGTGTTTTAGCTGAGGCAAATTGTAATGTTTATCATCAAAGAAAAATGCTCACACACACTTTTAAGAACGCAGTAAACAACTCCACATCATAACTAGAACGTCGGTTTATTTGTCACAATTATTCCCCATTAAGGGTTCAACATAGAATATGGATGGCGAATTAAGAATGGATGCCCTCCCTGACACCTCACCGTGGGCTTGATTGCGGGTCTCTCAACTCCCCAGTCGGCTATCTTAACCACCCGGTGTTCAAGGTTGCCCCAATAAACAAATCCCTATGATATAATGAAAAAGAAAACTTCTCATAACCAAAAAATAAAGTATTTTTACTTAGCACGGAAGAAAGATGAGACTAAACTTCTTAATATATATCTTTAAAATCAGTATCAACCTCATCGCATGATAAGCAGCCATGAAGAAAATGTTCATACTTTTCCCTCCTCTAGTTACTCCAACTAAAAATTATTGACAACAGCGACAATATAAACCAAAGGGAGTAAGGAGACTAGGGCAAGAGGTAGGAAAGAGACTTTTCGTCTACAAGCAGGCCTTCTTTTGATGAAAAATTAAGACAAAAGTGCTAAAGGTCTTGACTTTCAATAAAAGCTTATTTAAATTTTATAGGAAAATTAGACGTGTCGGCTCACACAGAGGATATTTCGACGTCAGTGTTTCACCAGATTAAATTTCAGTCTTTACGTAGACTTCGAATCACAAGAATCTTGCAAAATATAGGTTAAAGGTTCTTTACTTTCAGTTCACGTTAAAATTGAGATTTTTCAAAGGAGACCAACTGACAGGGGAGAAAACACAATAACGCAAAAAAAAAAAAAAATAGTAATAATAATTTGTCTTGAAATTCAGCATAAAGAGCTTTGTGGTAAAATGCTGATCCAGAGTTGTGGTAATGCTCATGGCATACTGTTAAAAGAGCTATTACATTGTTCATGATTCTACTTACACAAGGGCTAGATGAACAGGAAATTAATTGCTTGAAAATGACTATTTAAAAAAAGTTTTCCTGACAAATTTGAACTCGATTATACACTATAAGCCTTTTTCCCTTTCAAGTTCTTTGTTAATAATCGACGAATGCAGAATAATATCAAGCAAAGTCTTTCAAGAACTTGGACAACTATTTTAAGTCTTGAAACAAATAAAACTACACGTT